CTGACATCGGAATGGCACGACCCCAAAGCCGAGTCCTCAGCGGAAGCAAACACGTACCGCGAGACCGTCATCAAAACCCTCGGAAACCCCGACAAGATGTTCCACGTCACTTTCAAAGACGGCCAATCCGCCTTCGACAACAACGGTCCCATGTCCTCTCCCCTAGTCGAATTCGTGCAGATCTACTTTCCCGCTAGCAAGATCAACGAGTCGTTCAGGAATAAGATTGAGAAGGACTTCAACAAGTTCAACGACATGTGTGCGAAGGCTTTGAAGGGGAGTGGAGGGTTGACGTATGGATGGGTGATGGAGGAACTGGAACACAAGGATTTGAAGAAGGAGAAGACAAAATGCTTTTTTGTGGCGAGGGGATGGGAGGGCATGCAGTATTTTGAGGAGGCGGTTAAGAGCGAGGAGTACAAAGAGGCGATTGGGATTTTGTTGGCGTGGGAGGCGCCGTGGGAGTTGTGGCATGTGAAGAGGGAGTATTGAGTGGGGAGAGGAGTGTGGGCTAGGAAGTGGCGGGGCGTGACGCGCAGGTATGAGCCGAATATATCCCGCGAGCTCAAGTCGCAATTCCCGTCACCATCATGTGATGCGGACGTCGTCTTTGGGTCATGGTATGGGTCATCGCAGTATCATGTGCACGCGACGCATGTCCTGCGATCACAGCCCTTTTACGTGAAAATTTGGTGTCGTTAGAAGTACAGTCACCGTGGTTGGTCGGCGCACCACCCGCCTTTGCAGTACCGAAGGTTCGCGTTTCACAAAACATTTTTTTGAGCTAGACGTCTACGTCCAGTCGGAGGCTATCCATTTGTCATCTTACAACAGTGTGTATGCAGCAAAGCACAACAATCTGTGTCACATCCAATCAAATTTTCTTGCAGCCAGACGTGTACACTGCTTTCGAAAGTCTCTACTTCTCATGATGTAATGGTATGCGTGCAGCAAGACATGACGCATGTTTTGGCTATCTGCAGTACCGATGCGACATATTCGGGATGGCTTGATTGGATCGCTGCTCGCTCTGCGTCAGCGCAATACCACCTGGGAAAGTGGATAGAATGGACTTTACCAAGGTGTCGCATCGGCGCTCAGGTCCGAGTCACATGCGCAGCAAGGCATTAAACATACTTTAGCTATTCCCCGTGCGTTCGGATGTGAGTCAGAGGTGGGAATCGTATATAATGGCTGCATCCCAGGCTTTTCTACTTAGACATCTTCATCATCAGACAGTATCGAAGACCTTGACGCTAGTACCAAAACACATCCGCGAACTACAAATATCTACATTCGCTCGACTAAGACGCAAGAAAACAACTACAAACTGCAACTGTAATTCCATCTCGACATTTCCGACATCATGGCCAGCATTAAAGATCTGGACATGCAGTGCAAGATCACTGAGCTGCGAAGCGCTGAGTTGCAGGAAAAGTCGCATCGAGAAAAGATGTTTTGGACTACTCTGGACGCACGTTTCGGCACTAGCAAGCCAGAAGTCATCAAGAAAGAGGCTAGTAAGGCAGAAACTCCGCAGATCAGGCAGCGCGAGCAAGACACAAGCACAATGCCGCATGCGTCTTCAAGCATTGCCTACATTGGCCTGAGCATGGAATTGAGCGACATGCTTCCAACGGAGCTTCGCGACACAATATACGGTGAAATCATGCCAAGTCACGTCATAGTCAGAAAAGCCGAAGCTGGCGGCATATTTTTCGAAAATGAGGAAGATGGAAATCGCTTCGACCTCGCTCATCACAAGGGCTTAGGCCAAGAGATCTACCTAGAGTTCGTTGCGTGCTTCTATCGCACGACGCAATTTACATTTGAACTTCCAAGTGAAGAAGAGAACATAGCCCTGTTTCTCGCTTCAGACACGTCCGGACTACAGCTTGATCTAAACAAGCTAGTCTCAAAAATCTCGCTTGATATCAACGAGCGCCATTTCACAAAGATGGAGGAGGCAGGATATCAATTCGGCTTCGACACTCCGTACACAAGAGCCTGCCCGCCACTCACCGAGGTTTTGATGCTGCACAAAACCCCCAAAATGGTTCTCAAGAGGCGCCTTGATTTCCTCACCACGTTGATGCCGATGAATAGCAAGAGTCGCATCCTCACAGTCGCTGTAGAATACGATGTGAGACATAGGAACTATCTGCTTAATATACTGCTGCCGATCCTCCAAAAGCTCAAGAGCAAGGGCTGGAGACTACGACTGAAGCTGGAGGATTACAAGACAGTGTCGGGTCAATGCGCGAGTTTTACTGAGGACACGCTGGACTTCACAACGAAAGGCTGTTTAGAGGGTGTGCAGAAGTGGCTTCATGTTAGTAAGATGGACGAAGCATGCGTGATTAATACTGACTTGATCAAATAGATGAATGAATGAATGGGATGATGTGTGTACATGCACTATGATTAAGGGAGGGAGTGACACTTCTAGGGCTATTTGATATAGGACAATGGAAATCACCCAGACGTCTACATTACCTCCCACAGTGTGTGAAGTTTCAATTTAACGTTAATGTAGACGGCAAAGCATGCATTCATAGAGTGTATTGGAAATGACCCAGACGTCTACATCACCTCCCGGAGTCTGTGAAGGTTCATTCTCATGCTGATGTAGACTGCAAACCGTGAATTGATAGAGCACTATATCCATACGGAGTGCATGACCTGCTCAAGGATACTGACCGTCAAAGACTTATACGTCACCAACGTCCTCAAGAGCCGGTATACGGAACTCCAACTTCTCGCCCCCAAAAACGCCTTCTGGCTTCTGAGCCCAAAAGGCCTGCCTACATTCAAGCAAGTCATCCATACTCATGCTGTCTCTGCTCATGACCCAAGACCACTTCTCTCGGCCATCCAGAATCGTTACGACTTGTCCCTTCTTAACCAGATCCTGGAAGAACGGCAGCAACTTCTGCATCAGCACCAGCAGCAGAAGACGCCCAATGAGTTCAAAGTCTTCCGTGTTTTCCCACTCATTTTCTGCTTCGTCGCCCCCTTCATATTTGAATGGGCCCTCGTGGGAAGAGTCCCTCCATGCCTCCATGATATGTTTTGGCAGCAGTAAGGACCAAGTCCTCATGCTGGGCCGGACGTCTATAGTGATTCGAACACCTCTCTGTGTGAGGGTCTGTAGCGGCGCGAGCTCGTTCAAGAGAGTATCTCCAGCGACAAGTCGCCATAGAGACAACAGCTCTGGAGTTTCCTCAAGTACTGAGTCGTACGCTTCATATTCTAAATCTTCATCCGCAGAGCCTGAGATTGAGTCCAGATATGCTTGGCTTTCTTCCTCAGTTTCCGAGTCTTCCGGGCCCATCCATTCCTCGTGGCACATATCTAACGGTATCTTGAGATGAATGTTGCGCACGAATTCTTTTGGGACCAGGTGCTCGTATCCCCTCCATGGGTTTTGGTTGAGGAAGCGCGTGAGGTGTACTAGACGGTCGATGGAGAAAACTGTCTCGCGATGGAACGTCTTCATCTTCTCCTCGGCAAACTCAGGGCTCACGATGTTGGTGTCTAGATACCAGGGCGTTTTGCAATCCTTGCCTTCAAACTCTCCGTTCAGAGATTTCGAGGTGTATACTCGTTCCACGACTTCTTGGTTGCTGGATTCGTCTCCCAAAGGCTCTTTGTGTTCGACGTCATAGTCGACTTCAAGTTCCTTGGGGTATGGTTCGACGAAAGCGTAAACTATGTCTACGAGCTCCGTGGGTAACTTCTCGGAGATGAGTTCGCAAAAGACCCTCGCTTCGCTATTGTGCTCCAGAACGAAATCCAGCTCTGCCTCAACGCGTGCCAGTCTTTCTTTAGTAGCTTGAGCTGTAGATTGGTGGACTAACAGGCGCTTCTGGTACAAGGCAGCATGCGCAGCATTGTCTGGGTTGTCCGTGTATCCAAGCTTCCGGGTGATGAAGTCTTCGAGTTCCACTACTTTCGCCTGCTTGGACTGATAATCTTGCCTTAGGGTTGACACAACCTTTTTAAGTGCAAGACAGCGAAGTCGGAAGTGCTCTCGTTCATCCTTGGCACATGATGTCCGTCCAGAGGAATCCGTGAAGCTGTCGACCTTCCAAAGACGGAATACGTCGGCAGTCGTTTTGCTGTATGCCGCAGACATCAGAGTTTGACCGAGTTGATTGAAAGTAATGATTGGTGTGATTGTCGATAAGGGTGAAGTTTAAGAGTTTTTATAATGGGTTGCAAGCGTAGTGTTCACCTACCATTGTTGTGAAAGTGGGGAAGCGGCGAGGTTTCACGACGCAACCCATTCACTCGTCGTGTGGAGAAAGTGCTTCTTTTGCGCACATTAATGTGAAAGCGTTTGAATCGAATCTTCGTGAAATAGCTTGTTGAAATAGCTGCAAAGACGCGCCGTGAGAATGCCGAGGCAATAAACATCATATCCTTCCGACTCCATGAACGCCAGAAGAGAATCGCCAAAACCTTGTGGTCTAGAGACAGACCTGTAAGAGGAAAGTACAAATACATGTTATACAGTTCGTGATACAATCATCGTATCGTTCAATGCGACAAATTGTTGGAAGGAACCCTCTTAACGCCGCCCAGATGCAAGACGAAGGACAAAATGGTACAGAAACTGAAGGATATACAGCTAGAAGGGGTCACAATGTACGATCCTCGGGCTATGCCGCACATCGCGTACAGCAGGAATGGTTTGCGATCTGGAAGCGCGGGTGTGAAGTAGGGTGTCGTGAGGCGAACGAAGCGGCGGCGCATCGTGCGATATGTCTGCACGAGCATGTGAGCGCATATGATTTGGAGGTGGCGATCTTGGGTGAGCGACTGAGCGCATTGGTGAAAGCTCATATTGATCGGTCTTGGGTTGCCAATTCGGTGGGGCCTCCATGGGTGACGATGGCGAAGGATAGTCTGTCTTGGCACTGCTAAACCAGCCATTGATTGCTGCACCCATGGGGGATGTTAGGTCTTGTATAGAACCGGGCCTGATTCCAGTACCCTCATATGTGGTCATCAGCGGTGGTGTCTGAAGATGCGTTGTGGTACTGAACTTCCGAGGCTGCGCACGGCTGGACGACCGTGTCATCAGCGCCCCTGCACCGGAGGGACTCTTCAAGACTGAAGGAGCAGGAGACTTTACGCCCGTGGATATCGTTTGCGATCGCATTGCTCGAATTGGTGGCACCCGAGATGGGCTGTACTGTGGCTGCGATGAGACGGAAGAGGAGCTTTGAGCCGGAAACAGCGAGAAGCGTTCCGCATATGGCGTAGTCAAAGCCGGCGTTGGGGTGCGACTGGAGTAGCATGAGCTTGAGGAAGTTGGCCTGGGACTGTAAATCTTTGTTGGTGGGCTGGGTGCCTTCCTGGAAGGGATGAATGATTGCGGAAGCAAAGCTTGGGGTGATGCGCACGATGGCGAAAGCACGCCCGAGCTTTCTGTGCGTGGACTCGCCCAATCTAAGCTTCGTTGCCGCCGAGGGTCTCGACATGGGATGTATATGTTCAAACCGCGAACGCTAGCCTGCTTGCCGAGCGGCGTCTGCGGCCGAGGAGGCGATAACGGCGATAAGGGTCTTGGAGCGGGAATATAAGGCGAGAGCTGCGGCACGCGATTGTATGGAACAACGGCATCTGCAGTGGGGTTCCAGAGTTCAAGACCCTTGGTCTTATTGTGTCGGCGAAACCACAGCGAGGACCTTGAGCGCCCTGTCTCTTCATCGATGAGATGGAGGCGACTCTTCGTCGAGTGAGTCCTTCGCAAGTCACCGTCCATACCTTTGAAGAAGGGCACCATGTATGGAATGCTGGCAGTTGCGATGCTGAGGCATACATGGGCTTGCGATACGATCGCCGGCACCCAGAGTCGGTACTGAGGATCGCCATGGAGCGTAGCCGGGAATAGCAAAACGAGACGAACGATTGCCAAAATCAGCACCAGCATGCGCGGCGCAAAACATGCAATGACTGCGAATTTCCTTGAAAGCCGTACTTGAAGGTATGCTACGAGGTGTATGGAAAGCATAATAATTGCGACTTCGGTGGAAATGTCCACGATACAATAGACGATCCAAAAGATGCGCTATTCAGGTCAGCTTTCAGACCGTGTTTGGTTAAGTCTTATGTTGCATACCGAGTTGAAGCATCTTGGGCCTACAGTCTGCCAAGGTCGAGGTAGCTGGCACTGAAACGCAATTGCGACAAGCGACGCCGCAGTCCAGACTGACACTACCGCACTGAAAGCTACCACGGCTCGGCGGATGGTGCGTTGCGTTACGACGACATTGTAGAATATTACCAAGATTGATAACTTCGCGAAGCCAATGGCTACGATGTAGACAATTTCAGACGAGTAGTATCCTTTCATGAGGAAGATGGTTTGCTCGGGGGTCAACGGACCAACAGTGCCGAGACCTTCGAACGACAAGACAAGAGCTATGATTGAAAGACTGACGGCAAAGGACTGCATGCATTAGCAAAGTTCGAGAGATATGTTGTGCAACTTACAAAAGCGACAAATATCAAGAGATCATCGAGCGCCATTCTCCGAAAGACAACAACCTTCATTATCTGCCGTGCTCCGAAAACCATCATCGTAATGATAAGAATGGCCCATGATGCAGCCCTGATGGTATTTGCTCGGTCGATGGGGCTGGCTGATGTACTTCGGGGCAGGAAATATCCACTCGCTAACTTCATATTCGACATAAGGGAAAAATGGACAACGTCCAGGAAACTGACCCAGAAGGAAACGATAAGGAAATAGTGAAATGGTCAGACCTTCTTACCCCATATCACCCTAAGCATGACGAAAGAGCAGGTCATGGAGTAGAAAGGCTGTAGCTGGTAAGGCGAATTATGGGTGAAGCAGAGTCTCGCGTGTGCTTCGAGTTGTCCAGGGTGCGGGCCAAAAACAGTACACGAGGCGATCAATCCTAGAATATCGCTACAACACTTTCTTGGTACTGCTTACCTTGACGTTCAGTTCGGCAGTTCATCTCAAGCTGCTACACTTTTGTCCTGGGTAAATAGGACCTTGGCGTCTCTGGTTCGCTGTTCAGAGCCCCTCTGCCTCTTCCCTAGGATTAGTGTCCTGTGATGCACTGGTAAGCGCATATGCGACTCGGCAACGCTGCGTCATGCATCTAATCTTGGGGTGTATAGGCGCTTGCGATGATTTGTAGATACTGCTGATGGATGGCGCGGCTGACATGCGCTACGTTCCTTCCGGCGGGTATGCGCGTTGGGGCGCGGGGCCATCCTCCCGCGCCCTCAACGTAGACGCGCATGAACACTGGGGAACGGTACGAAGTGACCAAATCGCGAAACATGTTCCTTGAATGATCATCGCTGACAGGAGGATGTTGGCCGCGGTCTACGCAGCAGCAGCGGATCGATGGGGCTCAACGCCGGCGAAGTCGTACATGGTTTGCAAGGCTTCTGTGCACTCCATCAACTGGTAGTCATTAGTTTGCCTCGTAGCCTTGTCGCTGTAGCCTTGTCTCTGAAGTAGAATGCCACACCGGACTTCCTAGAACGGTGAAGACGACGGTTCCGGCTATGTAGGCTGAGGTTGGGTGCGGTTGTCTTGGGTTCGCGTAACGTGGCGCGTCTTTTCTTAGGTCTCCGTGCAGACCCCGGAAACCCATCCCAAGGCCAAGCGTGCATCCTTCCCAGGTACCGACAATGTGACTCGGCGCTTGAAGCTGTCTTATCTTGCGATTCGGGGTTTGAAGTAGATGAGGTGCCTATTCTTGTATTCGGTCCACTACTGAGCAGGTGATGCGCTCGAATTTGAGGGCGATCGAGATTATAGAGAATATCAATAAGCAGACCGCTCATGCGACGAACATCATAGTGATGTCGATCAAACACAGAGCGCTTGAAGCGTGCTGATGAATCAATAAGATAGAAGGTGGGCCAGAAGTCGTTCGCGAAGAGCGTTGTTGTGATGGGTCGCGAAAGCCGCCACCGCCAAAACCTTGAGAGGATGGGAGGGCCGCTCCTTGACCCAGCCTAGCGGATGATGTCAGCACCGCCTTCCAGCCGAGACCGCTCTCACCCACTCGTCTGAACAGCACCTTCATCAACAGTGACAACACCAGGCGATCCCGACGCAAGATGAGAAACCCGCCAGCACAATGCATGCCCACTCCTTGCATTACTCAGGACCAGAGTGCATTGATAATCCAGAGACGGTCACTGCGCGGATCTTCGACGGCATCCGCCGGCACGCATCTTCGTGCGCGACAGCGTTGATGTACTCAATGCCCCCGACAGGCCTATCGATGCGACAGGGACAAACTCTACCTCGAAGACGGCGCAGCGATTTGGTTTCAGAGGCCAGTGTTTGAGTACCACAATGAGCCACCAGCAACCACGATAGTGCCGCTCTTGAACATCACCATTCCATAAGCGCTTGCCTTCCTTCTGCTTGCGTGGCCTTGAATTGGCAAGAATGTTTCGTGCATACAGTCCATCTAACCAAGGGCGCGCCAAGACATAGCATGCGCTAACGCAAATAGGTAATTTTTAAAACATAGCATGCTAGCGTTATGCTACCTAAGAGAATTAGTGCACTTAGTAATAAAATTTTAATTTAAATAATTCTTAGATTTATTCTAAATTAATTTAGACTAGATTGTACCTATATTGTAATATAGAGCTTTCTTTGCCTATATTTAACGCTAAGCTTAAATTTCTTAACCTTAACATATTAGACCTAGATATCTATAAGAGATTTAACCTATATTTATCTAGCTTTAGTAAGAGTAATAATAGTAGTATTAAAGACTAAGTTAAAGTATGTAGTTAAATTAATTCTAAAATAATTCTAGACTTATTTAAACTAGAGCATAGTTTAACTTACTTCTAGAAATAGTAGCGCGCCTTCTTTAGAGGCTAGAGTTGTTAAGTATACTATATATCTACTCTAATACTCTAGTACAAACTCTAGAGGCTATACTTATATTATTTAAGTTTTAAAAGTAAATAGGTAATATTCTTTAGTTAAGAGAGTATTATAAGATACTAAAAGTATAAGTAGCCTACGTAGACTGTTTCTAGATTAATTTAGAACTAATCTAGTATAAGTAGTTTTAATACTATAGAGCTAGTAAAGTAGAGAAGAAGAAGACTTTTAGCTTTTTCTTAAATTTAACTACTTTAAGATAGGTTTTTAAGTGCTCTAGTATTAAGATATATAAATATATTTAGAATTAATTATAGAATTTTACCTACTTATAGGTAGATAAAGGCCTATATAAGATACTTAGGTAGATAAAAACGTCTATAGGCTAAATTAAGTAGAATAGAGAGAGAAGAAAGGCTAAAAGCTACTTTAATAGGCTTTAGCGTTAGTTTAGAAATAGTATTTATACTAATAGAGAGAGTTCTTATAGTCTAGAGTTATTTTAGGCAGAATTAATAGTATGTGTAGTTAAACTGTTTTAGGAATAATTTCTAACTAATTCTAGTAAGTAATAGAGCCTGCCTCTTAGTTTATTACCTATAGTAATTGCGCTCTAGGTAATATAAAGCACTATATCTAGAGAGTACTGCTAGAAATTAATATTATCTACTTGTAAGCTCTTCTAGATAGTAGAGTAGAGGGCTCTTATAAGAACTGCAATGTAGTTAAGCTCTAGATCTTGCGCCTAAAAGACTATAGTAAGTTCTTAAAGAATGTTTCTAGATTAATTCTAAACTATTTTAGATACTAACTATACCTAGAGTTAAGGCAAACTTGTTCTATAAGACTATAATGTAGTAATTAATATTATTATTCTTTTGTATTTTAAGCAGGTTCTATACTTTATAGTAGTTTTAACTAGTATACACTAGTATATACCTTCTCTATCTTAGTAGCTAGACATAGAATTAGTTAAGAATATAGTTTATATATTCTAATTAATATTAATGCTAAACACTATAAGATGTAAGCTATTTTATAGATATTAATTCTAAATTGTTTCTAAACTGTTCTAGCTACCTTTTTATAGTCTAACTAGTTTGCCTTCTACTTAAGGCAGCGTAAAGTTTTATTAATTAAGAAACTCTATACTACTTAGGCAAACAAAGACTATCTTGTAAGAATAGCTACTACCTAAAGATTAATTACATTTTCTCTAGGCGCTAGTCTAGAGAGAGTTCTTTTTAAGAGGAGAGTAAATTATTCTAACTCTACTACTATAAGCGCTATCTAAATTATTTTCTAAACGTTTCTAAATTAATCTACGCAGGTATATATCTACTAAATCTTACTAGCTAGTAGAGGCTATATTATTATCTAAGTGTAGAATAAGTAAGCTAAACTACTTATAAAATAAGAGACCTTCTAGGTAGACATATCTTTTAAGCGCTACTATAATAGTTAGAGAGAAATTCTTTTTACTACTATACTAAAGAGCTATAAAAAGAGTATGCAAATTACTTCTAAATTAATCTATAGCTAATCTACGCAGTTATTATATTTAGGCGCCTTACTACTAAC